GCGAATAAATCCCTGGCTGAGCAACTGCTAAATTTGATCTTTCAACTCTCGTATCTCCACTGGTGCCATTCTGTACGGTGCCTTAGCAATAGGCGTAGTGCCTGGAGCTAAATCAATGACGAAATCTATCTCTCGACTTGGTGGCAAGCCTGGAATTTTCTGGAATACATCCTGGAATTCCTGTACTACCGGGATACTGTCCAGAGATACCGCAGTCGCTTCCTGTGAGTCCTCCTCAAGAACGAATAAATAAGTGCTAGGCCCTCTATCAGGTTGTGGTACAACAAGGAGATACATCTCCTGTCCTGGTATAGCAAATACAATAGACTTTTCGTAACAGTTAACCTGAGCATGGTACTGAGATAACCAGTCCATCCCAAGTATAACATCATACGAATGCATATCTAACACTAACAAATTTGCAAGAAATCGAAGCCGGCCCATATCTATAAGGATATCACCGCTACACTCTCGTAAAATTGCGCCAACTCCCAATGGTGTATAAATATTAAGAGGTTGGTCACATAACTGAGTCGTCATACCAGATAAGATAACAAAAGATCTAGACACAAAAGAATGTGATGCACTAGTGTCAAACAGTATACGAGCAGTTCTACCATGTATAGAAAACATACCCTCAATAGCCTGAGGAGCCTGCGCATTATGTGGCATGAAGTTATAAACTCTGCCATGATGCAACTGCTGTGGAGGTTGTCCCGGAGGAAATGGTGGTGCTGGAAGTACCGGAAAATTCTGAACTTGCCCACGTGGCATCGGTGGGGCCGGTAGAGGTAATGGCTGATTAGGTCTCGGCTGCCCATACTGTCCCTGCTTAGCTTTGGGACACATCTTGGCCGGATGCCCAATCTCTCTACAGTGATAACAACGTCCTGTAAAATGACCTGCCTACCTCCTCTGTTGACTTCCCGAAAACTGTTCCTGTCCGGTCTGAGGTACCCCACCTTGTCTACCCTGATTAGGGACTCCATCCCTCTGCACATCTGGGTTTCCTTTATTTTTCTTCCAAGGTTGATGTCCCTGAAATCTGCCCCGATCATTGGACTTGGTACCACTGCTGCTTCCTTTCTCCACTGTCTGGTAGTCTCGGTTAGCTCGCTTATCTCCCTTGAACTTCCGGTAATCACTCCTCATCTGGCAGTGCTGTAAAGCGGCATTAACCACCTGGATGTAAGTAGTATATGCAGGACTACCTATGATCACCACTTTAATCGACCATATCAACCCCTTAACGAAGCGATCTCTCTTCTTTTCTTCCGTATTGACCTCCTTTGGTGCAAATAATGACAAATTAATGAACTTCTGTTCATACTCAGCCACAGTCATATTCTCCTATAGCAGATCCAGAAATTCAGTCTTCATCGCTGATCTTACTGACATAGGAAAAGACTTGTCATCAAAGCGAGTCTGAAATTCAGCATAAGTCAATCTGGTCCTTTCTTCGACAGTAGTAATAGACTCCCACCACTGCAATGCATTGCCTATTAGCATAAACGTAGCTAGCATCTGTTTCTGCACTTCGGTATAGATTACAATCCGAAGATGACGCTCGCTCTCCTGTTTCCACTGATATGCTAACAAGACATCTGTGGACCCCGCAAACGATGGTGGATTCCCTTTGATAAACGAGTGAAGAGTTTTGTCCCATGACATTGGCTGTGCCACTGGTTCAGGAACAGGTACTATCGGAGGAGGCTGCTGGTTTCGTAGAGCAAATGCTACTCTTGCTGCTACAGCTCGTGCAATAATATCAGCAACTTGAGGGGAAAACTCCTGATTCTCATTTTGAGTTGGGGAAATACTACGATGACGGTTCGCATTCCTTGTCCCACGCCGAGACATCCTTCTTTTGGATTCAGAAAAACCTAACGTCAGTACATTATAATGGACCGACTAAGAGAATACAAAGAACCCTAATACTTATGCTCTAATTATCAGAATACATAATGCGGAAGTATAGTAATCACAGATCCCTAAGACACTCGAACCTGGAATGCTCTGATACTAACTGTGACACCCCCAACATTTTTCACGCATAAGTTGATCAGGCTTATACACGAAAAACGAGGGATATCAAAAACAATTGGCAATATACAAGCATGGAATACAAAATGATGATAATAAAAGAATTTAGACAGGAAAGGAACACTAAATAATACAACATCCATCCATCATTTATTTAAATACAGTACTCCATTGCAACTTGGAAATCCTATGTCAAGGATCCCTAAATATAAACCTGAGAGTTCAACGTCAAAAGTAAATAAAAACTGAAACTGAAGTAATACGTAAAACTTCTACCCTGAACTGGATCGTAAGAGTAGATGAGTTCGGATGGTCCCACACTGCTAACCTCAACCTTGGAACGGGTACTGATCGTATCCTGAAATTACAACAATGGTGGGTCAACCCCACGAGCAAGTCCTCTCTACTATGACCCAAATCAGAGAATCAAATAAATTAATTATTTATATCCGGATGAGTACTATATCTGTATACATCCTAAGGGAACTATCCAATGTATAACATGACCTCAACCAGAATAGACGGTGATCACTTAGACTCACACTAGGTGGTTAAGTGTCGCCTTTCCCTACCCGGGAAATCAGCTATTATACATGGTGCACGGTACTGACAACACAGACTATAACGAACTACACAGTGATAACACCCCTCAAAGTACTAATGAATATACTGAGCATATAAATTAGGCAATACATGCCAATAATATTACTAAATATACTGAGCATGTCAATTAGGCAACACATGCCAATAATATTAAACCACATACCCCGACAGCCACACATCTGTCTATCGCAACGAATGCATAAGGTATAAATGAGTCGAAACTTATTAGCCAGCTCACATGGTTCTATAGGGCAACACATCCATATAAAATAAATGTGACATAATTAAACAGTCCATTTATTTCCTGAAATTGCACACAGCAATAGTAATCATGGTTGATATATGATTAACAGTATAAATATCCCATAATATATAATGGATAAATTAGATGACGATAACCGTGACATTATTATATTTGAACAGAACCATTTAATAAAATAATAACACCATCTATAGTAATGTTGTTTAAATGAATCACATTCATATCCGTACGGTAAACGGGCCAATTAAGTTTTAGAAATATTAATCGGCCATAATAATACTTAACGGGTATTGAAATAATAATTTCGTGGCCCGTTAAACCCGTAATACTTAACGGGTATTGAAATAATAATTTCGTTGTACCGCGGTAACATGGACCGCGGTGCACCGGATCAATCGCTCCTGTTAATGGCCCAGATGCGCGCGCATACCCTCCTATGGTGCGCCGCATCACACCGGATCACTCCGGTCATCTCCCCCATTGCCGGCGACCGGAAAACTCGCCGAAAGGTCGCCGGAAATTGCAGAAAAGCCCCGGAAAACCTAGAAAATTCTAGAAAAATCCCTAAAGCCTTATATAATTATTTTTAGCTATATTTTAATTACATAGGCTAATAAATAATTATCTAACCCCTTTAATAATTAAAATCGCATTACTTTAATAAACTAAAAATTAATTTATTGACATTCCTAGCATGGTTTCTAGTCTCTAAAAAAACCGAAATAAATTAAATGAATAATTTATGGATTCAAAGGGGAAAAGTAGATAATAACTTGCCTTATGGATTTAAAATAAATCCGCCGGTTGTGCGTAGTCGGGTAAAATCGCCTACACCGGTCCAAGCTTCTTTCTCTCTCTCTTTTCCTTTCACTCTTATAAAATAGTTCTCTGTAATTTTTAAGCTTTCTAACTTAAGTGAGTTTCCTTAAGGGTAAGTTGGCTAACTAATATATATATACAAACTTATATAATATATATAATACAAAAATCTAATTTACATTAACTTCTCACCCATTCCTCACATTCCTACCTATAACATTTAAGCCAAGCAAGCCAAGTCAAGCAAAATGTCCTAAGGTTCAACTATGGGAATGAAATTCTATCCTAAGATTTAATTTTTCATCATTACATTGATTTATTATTATTATTATTATTATTATTATACAATACAAATTAAATACTTTAATTAACTAACTAATATTAGTTAATCTAAAATATAACCCATAAAATTTCTAAACTAATCATTATAATATATAGAACATAAAATCAATATTACATGCACAAATAAATAAAATTAATTAAATAATTTAACATGTATAATTAAAAGGTGAATAAATCTACACATTAAAGAATTAACCTAACACAAAATTAATTTAAATAAACTCTTTAAAATTACGGGGTATTACATATTACTAGATGACACCACGCACCGATAACCTTCTCCTAATTATAGTCCCAATGTGGACTATTGCAATCCGATTACGTTCTCCTAATTATAGTCCCAACGTGGACAATTGCAATCCGATTACCTTCTCCTAATTATAGTGGGACAATCCGATTACGTTCTCCTAATTATAGTCCCAACGTGGACAATTGCAATCCAATTACCTTCTCCTAATTATAGTGGGACTATTGCAATCCCATTACCTTCTCCTAATTATAGTCCCAACGTGGACTATTGCAATATTATCCACATTATTTTTCTTTCTTCATGCCAGAAGAGTGAACAAATTATTTACTAAAAAAATTAATTTTGTTGAGTCTTACTTTATTGCATTGCTTTTGGATAGAAAACCCTCCCTCTTAAATTCATATGCTAATCTTTTTTTAAAAAATGTAAGTTAAATTTGATGAGGTAAGTTATAAAATGAAAATATCTGTAGCCTATGTCCATCACTGTCTAGAAAAAATACACCGTGTATGGTCCTCTCCAGACGGAAAATACGGTATAAAATTGCCAATTTGATATATATATATATATATATAATACGGACACGTGGCTAATTGTGAAATAATTTAGACAAGAGGATGAGGATCTCTCGAATCCCGATGTCCTTTTCCATCTTTAAAAAAAGCGCGTTTTAGATTTCTACCCATTCTTATTTTCGTTTTCGGTTCTTCACCCTCACTTTTAAGTATCAGAGTGTAGAGAGTAGAGAGAGAAATCGATCGGAGAATGTCGACTATTACCGTTCCGTCACAAGTTCCTTCCGTAGCCGAAGACTGTGAGCAACTCCGAAAAGCCTTTGGAGGTATATCTTTCTCTCTCAAACATTTGTCTGTGTATTGTGATCGCTTCTTATATGGATCTGTAGTTACGTTTCACTGATCAGATCGGTGTTTTATTTTTATTTTTATGGATCTGATTATATATATACACATATGTGTATAGTAGTTAATTTGTTAATATGATATAGTTCATTACTTGATTTGCTGATCATCCAAGTTCGAGATATCATTGTTGTTAAATATGTAAATTTTGCTTCACTTGTGATCGGATCGATCTTTTGGTGGAATGATCTGGACAGAGACCAACATTTTACTGAGATCCGAGTGTGTTTTTTATAATAATAGTGAACTTGTTACTTGATGACCTTATATGATCTTTGAGAGTCCAGACCTACGATTATATGATCTTTGAGAGTCCAGACCTACGATTGAGTGTGTAACAGTTTCTTGATGTTGGTGAACTAGTATGTGTCATCTTAACATGATACAATTGAATGATTTCATTATTTTTAGATGTTGGATTACTTTGTTTGCTCTCCTCTGTTCTTCTAAATTGTTAATTATTGTAATCTAAAAGTGTATACGCAAATTTGTATGTGTTTATATAATATTATATACTTCTTGGATTGAATTTATAAGGATCGTTGAAAAACAAAGGCGCTTCATGGTTGTCAGGTGGTATTTCCATGGTCTGTGTTGATTTTGAAAAACTAATGGATTCAGTTTAGTGTAAACTTTTATAAATTTAAGAGGAATTTCCAAAATTAAAACGGCTAATATAATATGCAATTGAAACTTACCAACTCTTGTGATTTTCCTCAATTGATTATTAGAAACAAAAAAGAGTGGACAAAAAGACCCATTTTCAATTATTTTCCAATTTCCTTTCTCTGTGTTCCAAACAGAGCATGATGGTGGGTTGCAAAAGGTGTCTATTTTTTTTAGTATATGCTATGGTAAATTTTGATACAGAGTAGTGATGAGAGAAAAATGAATGAAACGTTTTTGTGGGCCTAATATAATTTTGATTCAATATGGATGTTTAATCTTCTATAGTGTTAATACTCTGATGATGTTTGTTTCTTTTCATTTCATTGCTTTCTTGTCTCATTGAATTGATTTTGTGCTATTATTGTCGTTACTTTTGCAGGATGGGGAACAAATGAGGGATTGATAATTTCTATATTGGCTCATAGGAATGCTGGTCAACGCAAATTGATTCGCCAAACTTATGCTGAAACTTATGGAGAAGATCTCCTCAAAGCACTGGACAAGGAACTTACAAATGACTTTGAGGTTGGGTTTTCCACTGCTACAAAATTTTTGTGCTATTGACATAAAGACAGTGCCATAAAGGCATAACATAGAGTTTACTTTAGTACAAGATAATACTTCTAGTACTACTCAAATGGTTATTGTACAAGACTCTCTCCCCCTAGAACTTGGTACTCTCACTTGGAGGTTGTTGGTTACAAATAGCTCTAACTTTCCACATAACTCTATTTATAACTCTCTACTATTCTAGAATCTCTCTATCCTCTACAATAACTATCTGCAATCCCTCCAAAACACTCTAGAATCTTCCGACTTTCTTAATACTCCATAATCTCCATGCAACTCTGCAAGACTTAAACCATTCTTCACATGCCATGCATACGTCATGAGTGGCGCAACCTCCTGCAAAATAGGCGGGTGGTTTGATTAGGTTAATAAGGAGAGAGGGATGAATTAAGTAACTAATAGATTCTTTTTCCCATATTTCTTCCTATCAGAGGATTGTAATGCTGTGGGCTCTTGAACCTGCTGAACGTGACGCATTTTTGGCTAATGAAGCTACAAAGAGATGGACTTCAAGCAATCAAATTCTTGTAGAACTCGCTTGTACAAGGTCCCCGCAGGAACTACTTTTGGCAAGGCAAGCTTATCATGCTCGTTTTAAGAAATCCCTTGAAGAGGATGTTGCATATCACACAACTGGAGACTTTCGCAAGGTACAACCTATATAGTTCATTGTGTTACTTGGTTTGATGAGAGACCATATTGGCATCATGGTTTGGTTACATGTTTGGTGAATTGATTATTTCCTTACAAAGAATGTACTGTTTCAAAATTTATATAGAAGTCTTCTTTAAATTTGAAAGAGTAATTTTGTCATGAGAACCCTCTCATGATGAGCTCTCCTTACTGAACCAATGAATTAACCGGCTCATTTGACTTTTCACATATCTCAATAAACTGTCTCAATCCAGCGGTTAAATAAAGAGACCTCATGTCTCTTGTCATGAGAAGGCTCTCATGATAGCATTATTCATTTTGAAATAAATTGAAAATGCTTCTTAAAATGTTGTGGAATGAGTCTTCACATTAATAAAGAAACCAAAATGCCCTTAAAGTTGTGAACAACCATCTGTCTTTGGGGAGGAAAAAATGGTAGCTACATCAAGGATTGAAATTCTTTTATTTTATGCTTATTATTTAGATGGGATTATCTGTTTACAATAGATTGTGTGAATATTTGATAACATTTATTCATTTCATTTCTGGCTGCTTCCAGCTTTTGGTACCTCTAGTGAGCTCATATCGATACTCTGGAGATGAGGTGAACATGAGACTTGCAAAATCAGAAGCTAAGATACTCCATGAGAAAATTTCAAATAAGGCTTACACTGATGAGGATTTCATCAGAATTCTGACTACAAGGAGCAAAGCTCAGATCAATGCCACACTGAATGACTACAAAAATGAGTTTGGGACTGATATAAACAAGGTAATAATGTAATATAATATTTGAACCATATCAACTATTATATATTCGCAAGATGACTTCTGTCATGTTGGCCTAATTTCTGATTGCAACATATTTTATGTCTCTCCATTTAAAGATTGTCTTGGTATTGTTTGATGAATTTGTATATTTATTTAAAAATTTAATATTATGAAGAAAAAAAGATATATACCATGACAAAAGACGTATTGGTAAAAGCCTGGTAGACTTTTGGATTTATATAACAACTATAAAAAATTTCAAATCTTTTGGTACTGAATTTTTTTACTTGCGGAACTTTTTGAAACTATTAGGGGTTCATCTTTTGATTAATCAAAGGTGGTTCAAGTTTCTATGGCCTCAACATTCTCATCTATTTTTTTTCCCTAAGCAAGACATCCCCCTCTCTCCAATCGCAACAGTAGCATGAATTCTCAACAATGGTGCACAACCCATTGGCATTAATCATTTATGAAAATTTTGTTCATTTTGTTGGATCTAGTTCCTGCTTTTCTTTCTTATAGTTGGACAAACTTCATGAAAGCTGACAATTTTAAATCTTTAGGTCTCCAACAGGTGAGAGGTGTGGGTCCACTGTTCCACCATCCCTTCCTTGGGCTCCCGGTTCTAAGTCATGGCTCAAATATATTGTCTTACTTTTTGAATTAATTTAATGATATTCTAATCGCCAAAAAAGATGGGTTCGAACATGAACAACTAATGAAATTTTTCCATGTGGAATTAATTTTTGTTTTGTCCCCAACAACAATCTAATTGCATTTTAGAATAATTACTGCCACTACTAAATTTAAGTAGCTCTCTACCATAATGAACTTTTGGTTTTTCAAACAATATACTTTGTGAAAAATTTATATATTTTTGTTTGCACATTCTTTTACATCATGTCTGATATATTTAAGATTATTTAGCCAAATAGAACTTGAATTTATGGGCCTATTATTCACATTGTTTGCCAGTCACATGTGGATATTCACTCTAGAATCCGGGTTACTGAATATAATTGGAAACAATATGGCTACCAACCGTGTTCCAGATTTGAGAGATTAGAAATTACAAAATTTAAACACAGCCATATACGCATTTAGTGAAAAATACTTTGAGATAAATGTCTGCAAAGAGGGGGAAAAATAATAATTGAAAATAATGTTATTTTGGATGAATCAGAACTGGATCTTTAGACGAGTGAACGGATTATGCATTTCAGATTGTCAAACATTATTAGTTGATGTAGAATAGTCATTTACTGATCCTTACCTTGGTTTTGACTTCAAGGATTAGTAATTAATAAGGTTATTTTGTTGGCAGAATTTGAAAGATGATCCCAAGGACGAGTTCCTTGCATTACTCAGAGCAACAGTGAAATGCTTGACCTACCCCGAGAGGTATTTTGAGAAGGTTATTCGTTTGTCAATCAACAAGCGTGGAACAGATGAAGGCGCTCTTACTAGAGTAGTCGCAACAAGGGCTGAGATCGACATGAAGACCATAAAAGATGCTTATCAGAAGAGGAACAGTATCCCTCTCGATCGTGCCATTGCCAAGGACACCACTGGAGACTATGAAAAAATTCTCCTTGCCCTGATCGGACATGAGGATGCTTGAGTTGTGAGATGAGTTAGCCTCTTATATCGAATATCGATGTAGTGGTTTGAAGTTTTTCCATCTTCCTGCGTTTCATTTAGAACAGTGTGTGCTTTGTGTGGGCTATCCTGGTTGTGCGTGGTATTTTGCTTTTGGTCTTATATGCCCCTTTTTAAAAGACTCTAGACATTACCTAATATTTACTAATAATAAAATGGTCTGCTTTATTTACATTCCTGGTTCTCTTCTATCATTTTAGGTACAATTTATGTTGGTGGTAGGTCCTTTTCTTATATATGTTTAATTTTATCCCCTCTATCCCAACTTTTTTGTTGAGATCGCTAATTCCACTTGGGGTGGATGCAAGTCTCGGTGGTAACAGCTATTACTCATAAAAGCACAAGTACCAGAGGAACTATGTTCAGCTTTTGCCTCAACTTGAAAAGGGGATGCGTCAACTTTGTTGCTAGGTAAATTCTTAAAGGATGTGCTTGTTACAGAATAACTCTGGTTTCAAGTGGCAAGTAAGGGTTGCATCCTGCACTGAAAGTAGGTATTTGATGCGCTTGCGATGCACGTTGCACCATGCAAATTAGAGCCATGTGTGCACAACTCATGCCGGCGTGTGCACATTATTAGAGCCATGTGTGCACAACTCATGCCGGCGTGTGCACATTACGTACGACTCTGATTAGCTCACGTTACACCGTGCTAATAAGAGCCATGCATGCACAACTCACGCCGGCGCGTGCATGTCACGTATGACTTTGATTACGGGGCACATTGCACCGGGAGCACTGTGGCCAGAGATGGGGAAGTTATTTACGTGTGTAAACTAAAGGCTGTGTCATATCCTGCCCAATTTTGAAGAAGGTTTATCACGACTGCATTGCATCTTGAGTCCCTAATTGTTTGTCTTAAGAGATTTTTGTCTACAAAGAGGTAGTGATACCATGCATATCCACCAAGGTTTTCTCAAGAGTGTAGAGGGGGACGAGCAACACAGTTTTCACACAGACATGGTTAAAGCAAAGCAAGGACTGGTGACAACTGTACATTCAAGTTAAAGCAAAGCAAGGACTGGTGACAACTGTACATTCAAGTTGCTGACAAGAGAAGGAAAGAAAAATCATCTTGTAGTTGGAGGATGCTCAATGTGAGCTTTCCACATACAAAATCAATGATCCATGCCTTATTTTGCCTAATAAACACAAGTTCAAAACCTTCAAGTCTTCAACCACTGTGTTCAAATAACTGGCTCCGCACAGTCTCCTATTGTTGGTGAAAAGCTCCATGATAAAGAAATGTTATGTACGGAGTATATAATAGCAATTGAAATAGGTCTTGTAATCGTCTCGTTTGCTTTAGGAACAAGTCCAGGCATCACATTTAGACAATTGTAACTGCGACGTTCCAACTTTGTATGGTGCATGGTTGAGATCAAGAGCACAACATAACACAATAGTCCACAAGATAGAATTTTTAGTAACAGCCATGCACTTCATTAAGACAAAAGACCGGAAAAACACAAGATTATGGACATACCACCCAATTAACCAATAGTCCCCAGCTGCTAGTGAACATGTTAAATATAACCAATACCAAAACCCACAACACAAGGTCAAATCATATGAGAACAAAACCAACCAGGAATAAGATAAAACCAGAAACAAAAGTAATAATGTAAAAATAATTGAGTTAGACCTAACAAGTTAAACTAGGGCAATGCTGCTCTCCCCACCAGGGGGCTTGCGAACCCCGCCTAGGTAGTCTCGAGATTCCTTCTTCCCATCAGCAAAGATATTACTGCCACTCATCTCACGCAGTTTTGCTGAGCTCAGTGGTTTCTCCGCAGATTTAGGAGGAGCATCACCCTTAAAAATGTCATTTCCTGTCAGCTCTGCAAATTTCTGGTTGGGAATCTTCTTTGCTGTCTTTATCACTGGTTCCTCGCCAAATATGCCATTGCTCTGGGCTCCAACAGGCTACAAATATATAAAAGTCCAAAACAGGTCAAGACATAAATCATGTGAAAAGACATGAATTTAAACGAGGAAGAATTTCATGGTGCATAAAAGATCAAGGATAGAACATGAGCTGATCTGTGAACTTTTTCTCAAGCATTCATCATATCACATAATTGTATGAACAATCTAGGTGAATCAATTTTCTCAGTTCATGCAAGTGCAATTTTGGCAGTATATGCATATCATGCAAATAGCCCTTCCGAATCCTCCCAAATCGGAACACTAAACATCAAAATTAGTATTATGTGCACGTGAATGCTTGCGTGTGTGCATATGCTGAGAGAGAGAAACACCATATGAGTCATTTCTGAACCCACACATTTCACTCACATTAGATGTTTTGACGGATGGGCCTACATAAGATGGTGCAGATTCTCCAATGCTTATGCTTTCTCTCAACGCCAATGCACGAGCAGCCAATGGCCGGGGCTGAATTTCAGGCGGGGGAGCAAAAATGTCTTGTCCACTAAGCTCCTTGTACTTGGCATCAGAAAGCTGCTTCTTCAGCTTTGCCTCGGACTCGCTTAGTGTCCCACTTAGTTCGCGCTGCTTCGCCACCTCAGGGATTGAAGTAGGCTTCTTAGGAGAAACAGTCTCTTCATCACCAAATGAGATGTGGCTGATTCCAGCAACCGCTTGCTGATGACAATTTTAACCATAAAAAATTAAGCAGTTTTTCATGAGGTATTATGTATTCCTTGTACCCAACTGACATCACTGTGGAGTATAGAGATCCATAAACTGATAATAAATTTTGAACTAATAATGATCCAAAATATACCTGGTACATACGTATTCCAGTTTTGTTATTTGGGGTAGCGTTAGCACTATCAGATTCTGTATCATTTTCTCCATTGGCTGCAAAAATACCGCTACCAGTCATCTCCTTTAATTTATATCCTGAACAAGGTTTCCTGGAGTGTAGCAAAGATAACAGCTTTAACAACCCAAATAAATGAAGGGAAAAAATTATTAAGAAAAAAAAAGGAAAAAAGAACTCAATGATTTATTATTTCAATATCAGAAAAATTCTATATGATTAAATGAATAGTAGAGGTAGAATTGTGGTATCTCACGTAGTTTAGAGGCATGTGAAAAGGGTTTCCTGGAGTGTTGCAAAGATAACAGCTTTTACAACCCAAATAAATGAGGGGAAAAAATTATAAAGGAAAAAAGAACTCAGTGATTTATTTTTTCAATATCAGAAAAATTCGATATGATTAAATGAATACTAGAGGTGGAATTGTGGTATATCATGTAGTCTAGAAGTGTGTGAACAAATTGCTTTGACATCTTATTTGCAAGTTCTGGCAAAGAAAGTATTGATATATTATAAAACACTAAAAAAGAGAGGTGATAGACACAATATATTTATGAATATGTTGTTCCCTAGGAGTTCAACCATCTGCTGTCTCTGATGTCCTATGGTCATGCATATTAAATGGCCACAAAAGGGGGCAGCTGAGACATTCCAAACATTTGTTGCATGAACAAAGCAGAATCATACTGTTTCAAACTATCATTGCATGCACCTCTAAAGCTGTTGGGATACCAAATCCTGTGAAAAGTGTCATGCAAGGTCAATAATAAATACTTTAAAGTGACTAATGCTCTGTTTGAAAACATGATATAGAATTGAAAACCAAAAAATAAGAAAAATTGTATCATAATTCACAAGTGAGAATAACCGGGCAAACATAGTAGAACTAGTACTCTTTAAATTCTCCAAATTAGGCCAATATATGGAACTTGAAGGAGAGAGACTTTGTTGTATTAGATGTCATGCCCCAGCCTCAATTATTAACACCCATTTTTTAATTTTTTTTAAATATATGCCAACAGTTATAAGCCCCCTTATGGTTTTAATCAGCTCACTGTGTTTAAAATCCCAACCTAATTTGAAAATGCTGGATGCTTTTTACAACCGATTTTTGTCCCAAAATTGAAATTAACAAGGTAACTTAGATCAGATACAATTGCAACTACAGGAAATACAAGTACATGAAAAACTACAAACCTTCACATAATACCAAAGCAAATAAATTTTGATAGAATTATACTAATTCTGAAAAATAAAGTTTATAGCAATGTTATCCACGTGACAAACATAAGATCTGAGCACCCAAACAAGAAGTGCATTTCAATTGTACTTGACAAAAACAACTTCATTCAGCAAACGAGAAATCAATTTATTCAATCACAAATCAGTTAACAAAATAACATTTTGAAAATAATTGAACAGGAAACATAGAAAAAATAGGGGGAAATGGGATACGAAGGAGATAAACAAGCATCAGAAAAATGTGAAAACGTGAAAAATGCAGATAATATATAAAAAGAAAAATTAATAATTGAAGAAACAAACAATTTTCTTTATCCTGTCCACATATGAGGACATTTATTGCCTCCTTGAATTATTAAAATATAAAGATAAAAAAAGCACAAAATTTTTAAGAAAATCATTCATGATTTATATGAAACAGCTCGATCAGATCTCTCACCTATTCAATAGACTCTCGACTTCTTCATCTGTAACCTGGCCCCCAAACACAACCTTACTGATCCCATCCGACGGCTGATATTAACCCCAAATCAAAATTATCAACTCCAAAGACTTCAAATTTAGAAATCTAGAGAGAGATCATTCATTTTTATAAGAAATAATTGAGCTCACCTGGTGTGAACGAGCAGCAGAGCGAGCACCGGAAGTAGCAGAAGCGGTCGCCGGCGAATCGGCGGGGAGATTTTCAGGCCAGGTGAGCAGATCTGCCGTTGACGTGTGAGGCTTCCTCACCGGAGTGCTTCTTTCCATTGCTTGAAACGAAAATGCTCCAATCGGAAAATTAGAGACTCCACACAATTCACCTCTCTTCAACGCACACACTCTCTCTCTCTCTCTCTCTCTAAAAACACTGTGTATAGTGTGTTTCTCTCTCTTCACGCAACTAAGATCCGTCTCCGAAATGACGACGCTATCCTCTCTCTCTCTAAACACGCACTTTCTCTCTCTAAAAACACACCTGTGTGTTATGCTTGTTGACTGTTGAGAGAGGTACTTGTGTGCTCAGTTTCTGTTTTAAAAAAGCGAACTTCAAATTCGAATTTTGTTAAGTCTCCTCCGATAAGGCCTTGTTTGGCAAGCATGTGCACCGATTGGACCGCCACATGTCGGTGACAGAGAGACTCCACCAGCAACTGTTATTTTTTTATTGACTAAACTGCCCTTAAGACCATGGATTACCAAAATTGCCCCTGCCCTACCAAGTTTATTTTGCTCTTTTGAACGCTAGAGCGGAAAGGGCATATGAGACATAGGGATGTATAAAGATTGGTGTTTCGTTGTTCATACGGTACCCAACGTAACGGTAAAGTTATCCGTTAGACATGATAACGTTTCTCTCAGTTGCAGCTCGCCTCCTTTTACGGAGAACCGAATTTTCAAAATTTTGGTGGGTTCAAATTACCTAAATATCCTTCCAAATACCAAATATCACACTTTTATTTTATTATTATTTATTTTTACATATATCCTTCTGTTCTTTATTGGGACACCATGAGTTGGACCAAATTAATGAAGAAAATGCTAATCAATTTGAGTAGTCTTGAAGAAATGTTATAGCAAATTCATTCATCAATCAGTTAGCCCGCGCCTATACAGCTCCGTTGGTAAGTTTTGTTTGATTTGTCATTTAAAAAATATAAAAACGTGTTTACAAACTTTTATACTGTATAAATAATTTATGCATCATATTAGATGTCGCCTTTGGAATTGACGGAACTTAAAAAGTAGCTTACAGAGCTGCTAGATGCAAAAACACTATATTTAGCACACCGAGTTGAAGTGTCTCTAAAGTCTTGAGATAATTCTTTTAGACTTTTGTTAACTGAATTTTTAAAAAATATTTTTGGAAATTCTCAATCAAGCAATTTTTTTTATAATTTTTTGATTTTCAATTCTCAAAACACATAAAATTTTATTCTAAAATAACTGAACCAAATAAACCTTAACATGTTAAGGAGTACTCTTCCTAGATCACGGGTTCAAGTATATGTCTGAATTTCAATAATATACATAGTTTGCGCATAATTGAGTGCACTTAAAATTTGTAAGTCCAAAGTAATTATAGAATAATTGAGTCTTCATTGCTAGAAAAAATAAAATAAAAAAATTCATCAACCAAATTAATTTGGAGTTTTCATTCAATCTACCGTTTCAATCTTTATAACACAACTCATTGAAATATCAAGAGACATTGCCAAGATCTTGTTGGTGGAACTTTTTTCTTTTTTTTATTTCTTGGTAAAATATATTGCTTGAAGTGGCATGTACTCCAATTTGAGTTGAGGTGAAAAGCAATGGGTCGGGTCAATCTGACCCACAATACAGGGTTGGGTAACATCATTGGTAATGATGGAGGAGCAAAAAAGTAGCAACAGGGAGAAATGGACACTGAAAGAATGGACCCAACACAACGTGCGGATTATAATGACACATTGGGCACTGTAACCCTAATTTTGGAGATTCTAGGTTTAATAATTTATTTACATTATCTTCATTCACTTAATTGATATGTTGATGTTGTTGTTAATCCTAACTTAATGTACTATCTTTTTCACCTAATGATCATATTAGTTGTAGTTATCTCTTCAAGATTATGCCCTCTTGACCAACTTTGAATTTTCTTATCACTAAAAGTAACAGCAATGATGTGGCTTTTTTTCCAAAGATCATGAGACTATGTTCAACAGGTATAAAATTAAAGTTCTGAAATTGAAATTGAAATTGAAAAAAATAATTCAAAAAATTGAATTAAATTTTTTTTTAATTTTAATTCTAATACTCCAATTTCATCCCGCCAAACAGCATAACTCTTCTTAAGATTAAATGTGATAATTGATACTCCCTCTGTCTAAAAAATAATGTCTCTTTTGAAAAGCTATGAGTCACAGTTTTTCAAAAAAGATACTCCCTCGGTCCCAAAATAAGTGTTATATTTTTTTTTTTATTTACCCCAAATAATTGTCCATCAATCACAGTTTTCCAAAAGAGATACGGAATATTTTTTTTTTTTTTATGAATATTTCAGCTCCCGAAGGAAAAAAATAATAATCAAAAAAAAAATCAAAAAAAAAATTTGATGAATATTTCATCTCCCGAAAAATAAATAAATAAATAAATTATTGAGAACTGAATTGCAATGTTAATAAATGAAGTCGACCGTCACACTAATTTTGAAATCTTGAATAGCATCAAAATGAGTGTCTTCTAATGTTTACGTATCAAACTAAATAGTATTAAACTTGGCTGAAAAATGATGCATTTATGCATATCACTTAAGACTCAGGCCTTCTCATCACCCACCGTATTGTACAAATTAATATCTTGGTTCTGTTAGAATTTATTCGGTATTTTAAATTATTATGAGATGAGGATCAATAAACAACATTTCAACATCTACCTAGTGTCCAAGCCAAATACTTTTTTCAAAAATAGAGTTGGGGGTTCATGTTTTCAAAGACACGTGTGTGTGAGCTTCTTGATAAGTAAATAAATAAATAAAATAAAATAAAATAAAATAATTAGGTCTTGAACTCGAGCTAGGATCCTATTGAGCGTACGACATCACGCCGACGTGCTCTACACATGATTTTTTTTACTTAATTAAATTTAATGTGTTGAAAAATAAAATTAATATATTGACACATTACATTACCGTCACAACACGGATGGTTACATTAGAGACTCCACCCACCTTGAGCTTATGTCTTGAAGTCCAGACCCAAAAACAATCCCATGCCTCATTAATCACCAATAAATTTTTTTTATTTTTTTGAATTTATTACACTAATACTTCTCAGATTTGATCACATACCACATTGAAATATCTTTTGAAAATAACTATCAGTTACATTGCAAAAGTTTGGTCAATTTTTCACTCAGTCCAAAAATTACTTTTTAAATGTGTTAGACCACTTCTTACATATAAAAAGATATTATTACTCCTTTTGACTTTGTGTTGACTCACTAAAAGGTTATTTAATTTATAAAATGACATTTCTACCCCCCATTGACCTATATTAAGTGACCAAAATACCCATTAAAATATGTGTGTGTGTGTACATACATACATACATATATATATATATAGTTTTACAAAAAAAATAACAAACTAATTTTTCATATATATATATATATAATTATGATATATATAGTAAATGAGGGTCTTGGTGGTGTTGGATAATTGACGAGGGTAATTTTATCATTATACAATCATGATGTTTTAGATTAAAAGCCATTAGAAAATGAGGGTTAAAATGTCATTTCATATCCATTTTGATGGTGCAAGTGACGAAAAAGTGTTTTGGAATATGAGTGATACTAATTTTCCAAAGGTGTTCAATTTAATATTTGTCCAAACCCGAGTTGGTGTCAATGTAACTAACCCTTAATTTTTTTATTAAAAAAAAAAAAACCAAAGAAGAAGGAAAATTAAATTTTAGTGATCGCTGAAGGAAACACAAAGTTAAGAAAAGATAAATAATCACCGAATTTAAAATTTGATTACTAATAAGTAATAAGTGAACTTTTCAGGATAATTTGTCAAATCAGTGTTTACCTAAATTATTTTTTTCAAAAAAAAAAAAAGTGATCTCTCTCGTTTGCATCTTCTCTCACTCCTCAAACCCTATTAATGAGGAAAAACTCTAAATGAAGTTAAACGGATGGATAAGGTGATGAGGTGATAGATGCCGTTAACAACATAAATTCAAAAGGTAGTTCTGATATGATAAATATGAAATTCAAATTATCGACAAAGACTCTCCTTGAAGATTGCAACAAACTCCCAGCTCGGTTGACTATTAAAGCAAACCCTTTTCAACCAATGAGGTACGGACAATATCAAACTCCACTTGATTAATTGCTTATTTTATTCTGAAACTGACTAGGCCATCGGAACTTGTTTGGCAGGCACCACATCGGTGTCAAGAGAAAACGTTGTTGTTTCGGATCGTTGCAGACAAAGCTTCATCAGTTGGCGCCGTCTATAGGAACTTGAAATAGTTCTCTTTAAAAGGGATTATGGTCTTACGATCCGGATTTGAGCACAGTGAGGGAACATCGTTGCAGGCCTCTGGTGAAGAGGAAGTGCAGGGGGAACCCCTTCACATCCCAAATGACCTAGAGCACGTCGCAGTGTTGGAACAACAAATTCAAACCCTGAATCAGGGAATGAATGAGCTGATCTGACAAAATGCGATGATCCTACAACGTTTTGTTCCCCCAGACTAACTGATGAAGATTAGTCTACAACGATCCGAAACGACAACGTTTTCTCTTAACACCGGTGTGGTGCCTACCAAACAAGCTCCGATGGTCCAATCAATTTCAGAATAAAATAAGCAATTAATCAAGTGGAGTTTGATATTGCCCGTACCTCATTGGTTGATAAGAATTTGCTTTAATAGTCAACCGAGCTGGGAGTTTGTTGCAATCTTCAAGGAGAGTCTTTGTCGATAATTTGAATTTCATATTTATCATATCAGAACTACCTTTTGAATTTATGTTGTTAACGGCATCTATCACCTCATCACCTTATCCATCCGTTTAACTTCATTTAGAGTTTTTCCTCAGCACCTATAATGGGTTCAATTTTTGCCATGGACGTGCCAATTGCATTCCGTTGCCAGCTACAGCGTTCGCGTTCCTAATCCTTACTGATGGTGTAAAAAAATTAAAATTAAAAATTTTTAAAACAACTTTTCCAATATTGTGTAATAATAAGAGTGACAATTCGTGTTCGTGTCGTGTCGACGTAAGGGTATTATACTAAATAGGTAAATCCAAATCCAACCCATTTAATAATCATATCAAGAATCATCAACACTAAATCAACCAGTTTATTAAACAGGTAAACGTGTTAACCCGTTTAATGACTTATTTATCAAAACAAGACATTTAATATTTAATCAAATACTAAATAATAGAAAAACTTGTTATAATTAATCCAAATATTTAAAATAAAAAGAAAAATCATAAGGCATAGACAATGTTTATGTTGAAATGACTTAACCATCCATAGTAATTGGGGTTTAAGCGGGTAACATATTACATATGTTATATTTACGATTATAACATGTTGAGTTAAATGGATCATAAACGGGTTACACAGGTTGAACCTTTCAACCCTAACCCGACATGATTAAATAAACGGGTTAATCGTGTCGACACGTTTATGACCCAAACCCGTTTATGCTAAACTCAAATCCTTTTAACTCGTGTCGTGTTATGTGGTAATTTGCCATCTCTATATAGATATTGATTTGATTGTTGTGCCTGGGCCAAAGCTACATAGGATCATGATGATTTAGGCTCACCACCAACATGCAGTTTAGTATTGGACCTGCTGTGTCTGTGGCCAGAGGGTCATATAGGTGGTGTCCTCAAAATTCAAATGGACCTCTACAAACTTTGGTTGGCTTGTCACGTTGTAGAACGTCAGGGAAGGATTTGAGAGCACAATAGAACTCTGTTCAAACAAAAAGAAATAAAAATTAATTTTTTGATTAAAATATTTTCTAGAGTTATTTAGAGGTGTAGAAATGATTTATTTTAAGGAGAACATTTATGTAATATTCATTTGCATTTAAGTTTTAAATTTGATCACCATTCAATCTTTTTCAACTTTGTGATGATGTTGTCCAGTTGATCCAACTCTACAGTCCACTACAATATTTTTTTTTTTGTTTGAAAGGTCATACTAATGAGAAAGTCACACAGTAACCCTCTAGTTGTCCACAGAGTTTGAGCATACTCGAACCCTATACTTTACACTTTTAAATGGATAAAATACCATCATTCCTATCTCCAACTCATTTAACCATCCACGCAACCATTTAAAATAGGGGCGGGGTGTTTTGTCATCCTTAGTGCGTATCTTGCTAAATTTAATTATTCTCTTTTAATAATGGTACATTAATTTTATTTCTTTGTATTGCATGCACTTTCCTTTGCAACATTTGTAAATATAATTAAACTCACTAGTGGTCTAGCATTACCAAATCCTTACTTATCAAATGGAGGTTAAGAGTTCGAACCTCGATTGAGGCATGTGTGTCTTTGAGTAACCAACTAAGAATATATATATGTACACACACTTGATGTTATGGAGCGACTTTTCACGTGAAAACAAACATGGCTACCAAACATGTTCCAGATTTGAGAGTGAAAAAAAAAAAAAAAAAAAAATTAGGTGTTACAAACTTACAATACACTAGTTTATATGTTGCTTTAATAATTATAACCAAATGAACATTCAGCTTTTCTAAGTACATGGATTTAGACTCTGGTATAAATATACATATATATGTATATATAGTGAAATAATAGTTATGTGAAGAGAAAAGTAAAGTTTATTTGGATGAATCAATGGATGATGCGTTTTTCAGTGTCCACTTTTTAAATTATGCAGATCACAGTTTGTTTACTCTTTAGACTCGTGGAGTACAACTCCTTACGAGATCCTTACCTTGGTTTTGAGCTAATTATCACGCACTGCCTGAGGCAGGCTATGTCATGCGGGCGACATACGTGCGCTAAGGAAGAGTTCGCACGGTATTGTATGACATGAGAATAGTGGAGTTTTAGAGACTTCCAGAATTATGTGAAGATTGTGAATAGCAGAGAAAGTTGGAAGATTCTATAACGTTGGAGAGATTGCAATATTTATAGAGTAGAAAATTCTAAAATATTAGAGAATTTTGTAAGCTCTAATGGGGGAAAGTTTTCATAGTAGGAATGTCTATAAATAGGTAAGGGAGTCATTTGTGGCCAACAATTTCAAAAGTGAGAGTGAATAATTCACAAACTGTGTGAGTGTGCAAGCCGTGAGGAGAGTAGCATGGTGACTGGAAGAGTGGAGAAAGTAATTAATTCAGTTGTTTCATTACGTTACTGACAAAGCTAAAAGCAACATTAGAATGTTGAACTATGTTTAGAGTAGTTCAAGAAGCCAACAAAAAGACCCTGTATACCACAAAAATGTTCCTAACTGAATGCCCTAAATGTATCTTAATTTATATATGGGTTGCTTTACGTTTTATCTTAGTTGTAATATTTATTGGATTATATTGGTTCTGTAATACCCATCATGTGATGGCTGCAATGTATAATTTCTCATTGATTACCGATTCAACTCTCTTTATTATTATTATTATTATTATACAACAATTACTCATTACTCCTAGAAGGTCCACTCTTGTATAGTTGTATGTATCCCACTTCCACCAGATCTATCTGGGCTTTATTCTGAATGATGGGAGATTTTTTTTTCATTGTAGCATATATGAGCAAATCTCCGATAGTTACTACATCTCTTAATGAGAATTTGAAGATCTCTGTAGAGCATGTGAATTCATGAGTTCTACATGTAAGGAAACCTAGATAAAATTTGGTTTTCTGCCATTCTTCACCCTGCTTTTCAAACTATTAGACTAGTGCAATTATGCAAACATAATGCTAGAGACAATACCACTGTAATATATGTGGGTGTTTGCTTCACCCGATGGTATGATTTCTCCTTCAAATGAGATGTTTAGAGTTCGAGTCCCGAAATAGGTAATATGTGGGTGGCTTAAACTTTCAGGGAAAAAAATGGAGACCATGGGTAGCCCCATAATAGTTCTAATAAAAAAAATATATATATATTTATCAAGACAATCGATTAGTGTAACAATTATAATCAGGTCAGCTCAAAGTTCTAATGGCCACACTATTCAGCTCAAAGTTCTTATGGCCGCACTGTTTTCTCTTTGACCAGTCACTAGATGAGGAGTTGAAACAGAAAGAAGTTCAATACATTCAAAGAGTCAATATAAAGTACAGGTTCAGAAAGAGAGCATATATAATGAAACAATAGAGACAATACGATACAAAACCGGAGAAAAAGAGTTACCGGAACACGAAGAAGCAAGCCCGTATGACGCTAGATCCGTGGGAGCCTCAAGATTGCCCAAAACAGGGAAACACTGCAAATGAAGGTGCCTTGTTGAAACCAGCTACCAGACAGACAAAACTACTCTTCGTCATGCCATGAAACCTTTTTTACAACAACAAAAAAAATTGATTTCATTACTGTTATTTCCAAGAAGGATCACGTGAAGGATTGAGAAGTCACGCAAGTACCTTCAACCTGCAACATCACCCAAATAACTTACGTGTTCATGATAATCATTAATCAGTTGACATGGCTCACAAGGCTTAATCAAATGTACCTGAATACCTCACCTCATCTGGGTACACACCAGTCATTATTGGCACCAATATCAGAAACCAGAACATCCACCAAAGTAGCTTTGCTAGATTTGGATTTGTTTGCTCGCCTCTTTCTTTCTATGGATGTTCTCATTCTCAAAGTAATTTTTTGGTTTATGAACGCCATAAATTTGTCTCAACCCCCAAATATGTGATGGTCAATGGACGGAGAAATTCAGAATTTAGACACACTTTCTGCCATGCAGAAAAAAAGAGAAAATGGGCCTATGACACATTTACCACAAAAAGATTGGTACAAAATAACCAAAAGTTGCTCTTTGATTTAATGCCCCCTCAATCTTGTAGATTACATTTCTTTCCTGTGCCTGGGCAGTTAAGGATGAAAATCTGGTTCAAGTACATCTTCAAATAATTTGGTTCTCTTGAACCATATTTGACTCTCATTAAAAAAGATATAAAAATGAATTTTCCTGTATGATTTGTATCAGTTATTGAAGACAACCTTATCGAGATAAAGCGAGCTTCTATTCAGCATTACTATTCACCCAAATTGGAGAAAGTCAACTGGCGATAAAGAGAAACGTTCTCATCATCGTCATCAAAATCAAGATCATCCTCTCCCTCGTAATCCAATTCGACGATGCTTCTGTTGTCAACATATATCTCCTCTGCATCAGAAATCTGAACTTGGGAATATTGTCCTCTTACAGGCAAATCATCTGACTCTATCAATTGTATCTCTGATTCTATTAAAGCCTCCATTCTAGCCCGCTCCCTGTCTCTTGGGTAGGTGAAATAGAGGAAGGCGTAGAATACACAACAGAGTGCCATCGGAATTCCTATTGCCACGTAAAGTGCTTTGGCCAATGAAGCAGCATTCCCTCTGTCCGTTGAAATATCTTCAGATTCTTCAGGAACTGGTTTATATCCAAAAACATGCTGGGCCAGTATACCAACTACTGGGGGAGCAAATGATGATAACGTGGACTCCAAAGATCGATCCAGAGCATAGATACTTGTTCGGGATTTCTCAGGCACAATCTCTGCAAAAATTGGACTGTCTACACCATTATCAAAATACTCGATTGATTATTCTGTTTTCCAAATAAGTTATTACTTTTTCACTCTATATACTACAAGGGTTATTTTAGGATCCTATTTCATAATACCATTTTCTGTTTTCTTTTCCCATTTTGGTTCTCTGAAATACCATTTAACATGATGAGCTAGTGCATGACTTCTTTTATATATATATATCCCAAATAAGTGTGCATGAGCGACAAGACTTTGATAAGTAACAATATGTATAATTCAGATCTCATAAACATGAGTAAGCAGAGGACAGGAACAGATAAAAGATGAGTTGAGATATTTACTTGTTTGTAGCTGGACCATTCCAAGATATGCAAAACCCCATTACGAACAAGACTAAGCCATGCATGACTGATGTGGATGGATCATTAGGTAGAGCCAGCAGAAGTATTGCTGCAAGAGGGATGGCTGATGATGAGCTTATCTGTGATAGCATTATCCTGCCAGAATTTGGAAGCCGCTTCGATAGAATATCCCCCATCCTACCCCCAAAAAGTCCCCCAAGTGAGGCAGCAATCACAAACACGGCCATGAGAAATGCAGTTTTCTCATGAGTGAAGCCACTAAGCTCTAACCACATGGGTGCAAATGCCAAAGCTGACCAGGGGAATGAACCAGTGACACCTTGTGCCACAATAATCTGAAAGGATGAAATCTTAATAACTGATTTGGCTTCCTGAACCAGGTCTTTCACCTTTGACCCAAAGGATTTACTTGGGTCTTGATTGCAAGCTTCAGTTCCACCATCTGGAAAGTGTGGATCATTGGCAAAGAGCCGAACTAAAATACCAACTATGACACTGATTATTCCAACGAGATGAAAGGAAATTCTCCAACCAGGAATGCCCATAAGTGTGGTTGGAGCTATCAATAAAGAAAAAAATCCACCAATGATGGATCCGAGGTTGCTGGTGAGCTGGAGCCATCCAAAAGCCATACCACGGTGGTGGTCATCAGTTGAGTCAGCTACAAGGGACTGAATTGCAGGTGCAACAATGGCAAGTCCAATTCCATTCAAGGCTCTTGACATTGCCACCTGATCAACAAAATTGAACTTAAGGGTGAATATGACAACTTAGTAGTCCTAAGGACAATTAGTATTTTACCACACTGCTCAAGATTTCTAATGCATAATTTGGGTAGAGACATGTTTTTCATTTTCTTTTACACTTTTGCATTTGAAAATTGCAGTTACAGCCATTGTTTTAAATAACAGCTGTTGCAACAGCCGTTAGATAAATAAAATTTTGGTTACATTCCCGTTTGTAATGGTGGGTATTTATTTCACGGCTCTTATGGCAACATAGAAGCCAGTTTCGACAGTGACATAAACCCAAAACTTTCGTTCTCTTCCATTTCTTCCCCAACTTCCAGATTTTTTCCACTCCTGAAACTAAATATAATCTATCAGAGTTCTAAAATACAATATCTAAGATCAAAGTTCATTTGATCTATAAATTTTATTTAAAAAAAAAACATTAATTACTCATCCTTTCATTTGATTTAAATTTATTTTAACAACAAAATTATTGTTTGACATTAGATCTACAGACACTGTTAGTGGGTCTTGTTTGGTATCGGTTGATCAAACTTATTGGTTGGTTTTCAATTTTCTTCAAGGGATAAGTTGTTTCCAACATGATACATCTTTTATAAGTATGTGACATTGGGACTCGAATGTTTATGCCATTGAGCACTATGTTTTTTTATGCTTTATCTAATAACTTTAATATATTTTCATTTTTAAGTGATTTTTTGGTCATAAAATTAGTAAGCACTTGTCACCGACTGCTAAAAGTTCAGTTTACATGCTGCTAATCATATTAAATCATTTTTAAAATACAGGAAAAAAATTAAAAGCCTAAATTTAAGGATTCTGGGGATTAAAACATGCATACTGATACATTTTAGTGAGAATTGAACAAGGTTGAAAAAGCTTATGGCTTTGGTGACCGTTGCCATTACGTAACTCTCATTTCACCTCAAATCTGTTGCACCACAACTAAATCATTACAGCAGCCATTAACATTATGTAAAATCTTGGTCACAGCAAGTTCTAAGTTCCTTTACCTAGAGCTAAACAACTATCTGGAACTTTGAATCTTGTGCTCGTTTCATGCATGGTTAATTTCTTCTTGTTCGTTTTGATACAAGCATTTAGATCAGGGAAAGACCCAGAAAAATATATAAGGAGGGGTGGCCTATGTTGTGAGGACGATAGTGAGATTATTCTGTAATTTCAGTGGGGGCAAATTGAAATTTTTATAGTTATTTAATAAATAAAGAAAGGAAACTATAGGTATTAAAAAAAAAAAAAATCAGTGGGGGCAATTGCCCTCACTGGATTACAGGTAGGTCCGTGCCTGATTTAGATACTGCAAGAAATTGAAATCATTCTATTGCATTGCATAGGACATATCAAATAAGTCTAACTTGCTTAGGAGGGTATTTGTGTTTGCTAGCATTAGTGAGACATCGTAGGATTATAAATATACAATACTACTTCATGTTTTGCTTTCACTTCACTTATTTTGATGATGCCAATTGTCCAAATACATCATGAGTACACAATTTCATCCATTAAACAAAGTTTTTTTTTTTTTTTTTTTTTGGTCCTAGATTTAAAATTCGTCTCAATTATGCATATTTCTTCCAAATAAAAAATAAAAACTACTCCTTATGCCCATTGATTTGAGGCATTGCCATTTCTCTGTTTACCTCCCATTCTCAAGTGTGAGTACAATTAGCCCCTAACTCAGTAGGACAAGCTGACACCCACTAGAAGTTTGATTTGTCTTACAAAACCATTTCAGCAGGTTATCGTCGCTCTTTAACTTAAATCCCCATGTATTTATGGCTAATGACGTTCTTTTAAGCTTCTAATTAGCTTCAACTACGAAATCATCTCTCCACATCAAAAATGTTTTTCACACTTCCCATTGAAACACAATGAGCCTTAGCAAAACAACGTCTAGAATTGTGCAAACTTTTTGCAACATTTTGATAAAATTTCTTAACTTGAAAGTTGATATTTATGTATTGTTAGGTCACCTCCCCAACACTTAAATTGAACCTAACAAGTATTCCAACACTTAAAAAAAAAAATCATTATTTTAATATCTTAAACCCTTTTTTTGTTGTGCTTAGGTTGGCTCCATTTTTTCTAATTCAATCCAAAACCACCCAAAATTAATAAACAACACACATTTATATTAGTATCAATTATATCGATTGGACAATTATCAAAACTGACATACATGAGTCTCAACAATTCAATTAACTATGTTAAAAGTACAATGAGAAAAAAAGGGGTTGAACCTGGAAGAAGGTGGAGGAGAAGCCGACGAGGAAAGTGGCGGCGGCCCAGAGGAAGGCTCCGTAGGCTATGACATGGGTCCGGTTGTGACTGACGGCGAGGTAAGCGGCGAGAGGATAGCACAACGACTGCACAATCGACCGGAACAGGGTGAGTGAGCCTAGCCTAGTTGGGTCGGCGTGGAGTGCAGCACCAATTTCCTTGTACACTCCCGGCAACAGAGATTCGTCTGCCCTTTCCATAATCCCCGCCAGGTTCACCAGTATCAGGGTCACCGTCTCTGGTTTCATTTTCTCTCCTTTTCTTGCTCACCAAACAGAGGGTTGTGTTTGTCTTGTTCTGACCGGGGGATTTGGGAGGTCAGAGAAGAGTTTGAGTCAAGAATCGTAATTGGGAGAAATTTCGGATATGCTGTGTGACACGTGGTATACAAGGTCATCTTGGGTCCCACAAGGCCACAGGCGGGGGTGGCAAGCGGCATTAGTATCGTGTTGATATAAAAATATTATACTAAATAGTTAAACCCAACCTATTTAATAATCATGTCAAGAATTCTTAACAAACAGGTAAAAGTGGTAACTCGTTTAATGACCTGTTTATCAAAATGAGACATTTAATATTTAATCAAATATTAAATAATATAAAAAAATTTGTCACCATAAATAAGGTTTATGTTGAAATAACTTCACTATTCAGAGTAATTGGGTTTAAACATGTAACATGTTACATAGATCATATTCACGATTATTACATGTGTGAGTTAAATGGGTCATAAACGTGTTACATGGGTTGAACCATTCAACCCTAACCTAACACGGTTAAGTAAACGGGTTAATCGTGTCGACCCTTTTATGACCCAAACCCGTTTATACTAAACTCAAATCCTTTTAACTCGTATCGCATTCATGTCGTATCGTAATTTGTCAACCCTAACCACAGGACGAGAAAATCTGCGTTGCTTCATGAGATGAATGGTTGGCATGAGGATTAAGTAACATATTGTTACAGGGCACGTCAGATTTCCATGGAAATGCTAAGAGACACAATCCTATCTCAAGTTTTGTGTGCATTTAAACGGTTTATGATTTAAATTTAACGTTGTTCACTTTCATTCTAGAATTTGCTCTTTCTTTTATTTGAAGTGACTTAAGTTATAGTATATGTAAATAATTTAAATTTTTGAATCAAATTTTGAAACACTCAAACCATTATAGTTGACATTAGAGTCAAACATATTTTTTTCATATAGTGTCTTGCCAAACATCCCATCCAAAGGACTTCGAACCCACATTAGCTGCTAGCAATATGTATGTGACTTGCTAGCTACGTTATTAAGTGCTTAGTTATAGTGTTTTGTTACTGGTTGTCCACGGTATAGGTTAACCATTATTTATTATTTTATTATTTTTTTGGTCTATTTTTTCTCCACTTGTCTGAATAGGATTCGCAATGCAAAGAATAATGTAAATGTCTGAATAAATTTGATAATAAAGAAGTTTAACTATAATATTGAGTAAAATGTAATTTTTCATATATTTTTTTGTGATGAATAAAATATTATTTTTAATTTTTTTGTTTCTTATATATTTGTTAACAAATTTTGAAGGAAAAAAAAAAATCCAAAAGGCAAAGAAATAAAAATAATATATATTTTTTTCAAAAAAAAAAAAATCTGAATCATAATTTTTTTTTTTTATACAATAAAAATAAATTACATATAAAAGGAAACAGTAAAGAAAAAAAGAAAAAAAAAAAAAAAAAAGGTCATTGCAATTTTTATATTTTCAGGCTTCATTGCACAATTGCTATTGCTAGCATTCACCTGGGCCTCGCCGTTTGCCAGCCCCATACCAATCATTGCGCTAGCCCCTCTGACTTCCCAACTGGTAAAATCAACTTTACACCGGGGTCATGTATGTAGTTCAATAGTATAACCTGCTTATCCTCTTTAAAAAATAGGATAAAAGATAAAACATGTGTACGAGAGTGTATTCCTTTTTTTTATATAGTTATTTTTTTCTTCTCTTTTTTTTTTTTTTTTTTTTTTTTAAGTTAAACATTTAATTTTCTCCTCTTCTCTTTATGTCCATATTATATTTGTCTTCAGATTATTGTTTGTCCATCTCTTTTTAGTTTTGACATTAAACTCTTTCTTAATTATAAAAAAATCACCTTTATTTGTTCTTTTTAAAGAAGATAATATATTAATTGACAAGTTAGTTAAACACACTGTACCTTCACATCCTCCCTCAAAACAAGAGGAAATAAGATAAAAACTCAGCTTCAGCCTTCCTAATCAGATCAAAAACGATGGTTTAAATTTAAAATTTGGAAATGGTGATGATATCATTGATAGGATTGTATCTTATTCTTAATTAGGGAAAGATCCGGCTTTTAGCAAATGGAAAATGATGGGAGACGGATTTCGTATCTTTTATCATTATAAACAGAAAAAATAAAAAAAATTAGCTTAATAAATATTTTCATTTAAAATTGCTCCTATTTTCTATTCAATTATTTTTGTCACCTAATGTACCACAGAAGACATTATAAGTTTGAGAAACATTAGGTTTTGAGAAACATAACACAACGTTTTGTCTCCTTACTCAAATTTCTAAGTTGCCTTATTAAAAATGGATGACTGCAAAAAAAAACTCTCTCTGTTATCGATGTAGTGTAAAATAGTCTATATATAACCTAAAATATTTATATACTATTGCAAAATAGTCCCGGTATACTGTAAAATACCCATATACCATATTTGGTGCAAATAGTCCTTCAAAATTTTAAATAACCATAATATCCTCGTTTCTGTAGGATAAATTATTAAGTATAAATTCCGAGCCCATATAAAATGATCATTTTGTCCGATTACAAAGAAATTATATGTGAACTATCGTGGTACTCCCCAATGAATGATGAACGGCAACAATAGTAGAAGCCAAGGCTTGACCCACGCGGCAACCAAGGAATTCGACTAAGACGCATAAACTCATCGTCGTCGTTGAGGACCGACTCCACTCACCAGACTTGGTCGATCGATCTATTGCCACTGTCCAAAAACAACCAGTTTTGCGAACCGATTTGAAGGAGTTGATGGCAAGTTTGATCGGCCCGTCGCCGATGATAAGATCTTGAAGAACTTTTGGTGACTCATTGACTGGAGGAAGAGAAAAATATTGAAAGAAGTTTTGGATTTTTTTCAATCTCCAGAGGGAGAAAAAGCTACAGAGAAGAGAGAAGGAATCGACGGCTACACTGCCGTGCGGAGTGGTGCTTTCAGGTCTGTTATGATGGAAGGATTTTTCGCCGACGTCGATGAAGGAGTTGGCGTCGCCGGCACAGTGGTGAGAGGCGAAAGTCTGGTAAGCGTAGATAGAGAGAGTTGGGAGGAGAGAGAATAGGGAATGTTGATGTGTAAAGATTGTTGCTAAAAAATCTAACATGGCAAAATATTAGTGGCCGGTACGATAAATGAGATGGTGGGTTGCTGGACCACCTAATAATTTCTAACAAATGGTTTAGGGAGGTTATGCATATCATGTGAGGGGCAAAATTGGAACAAGAAGGGTAAAATCGAATTTTCAGATATACTTTTTACCAAAAAGTGGTCATAGACTTATTGGAACCTTTTTTTTGACTTATTGGAACCTTTTTTTGAATATTGTGGACTAAAATGCACATGCACATTTTTAAAAGGAGGAATTCATTATGCACATGACCTATATTAAAAGGGGTTTTCTACGCTTAATCCTATTAAAAATAATTGAATATCATACCAAAAGAAAAAGTTTTATTTAGAATGGAACAGTTTTAAAAAGGATTAAGTGTAAAAAACCTCCTGTAATATAGGTTATGTGTTACATCCCTCCTTTTGGAAAAGATGTATTGAAGTCCATAAAATTCAAAAAAGATGTAAATAAGTCCCTGACCACTTTTTGGTAAAAGTTAAACATGAAAACCTGATTTTAACCTTTTGTTCCCTTAATATATGCTCGAAATTACTTTATTTGCCCTTATTATATATTACTGTATTTTATTATAAACACAATGGGTAAGCTGGGTTGAAGCTTCACTGAAGAGTTGAAGGTATAACGAGAGACCCATTTTTGGTGAAACTTATCCAACGACGTACCCAATGGCGAAACTCCGGCATCATCTCAAGCTTCGGTAAACCTTCAATCTCCAACTATGCTCAAACTTCTAATAGCATCACAGGTCCGACACCATCACAGATTGTCCATGATCGACGCGGCAAGACGTACCATCTCGACAAAGCTTTCCGGTCATCTTTTTCAGCGAGTTCTCCTCGGTCCGTTCTAGCTTCGATGAGCACCAACCCTCAATGATGAAACCAAGAGAAGCTCGGCAACATTTCAAGTGAACACAACCAGCTCCATGGATCCGCAAGTGTAGCCGTCCAGTTTTGGCGCTCCTTGCATTACCGGTGCAGTCACTCTTGTTCATCGGCGCAGTTCCCTCTTCTTTAGAGCCATCCTTGCATAGACGCCGATGTTCCAAGCTCATCTTCATCACCGTTAGTAATTTCAAATAGAGTTCAGCGCCGACATCCTTGCTCAGTTTAATACACTCCGTCGCTAGTAAGTTCAGTATACTCCATCGCTGAACTTGCCATCTTCCTTGTTCGCCGGTGGATTTTTCATTGCTCGTTGCTGAGTTCTCCTTGCTGTTTTGCCAGTAAGCTCCTTTACCGCAGTTCATCATTGCTTGCCCCGCCCATCCTCACTAAAGTCAGTGCTTGCATAGCCGCTAGATCCTTGCTCTTTGTTTTTTACTGTAACGACCCGAACCCGAGGGTCCGAACAGTAGCCGGGTCCTTACCCAAACCCGAGGTCAACTAGGGACATGATCGTCTTTTCTTAAGTAAACACACCACTTGAACTTCATTCCATGGTCCACAACACTTTAGCTTAGAACATCACAGGGAGAGACACAACATACAGGTAAAATAGGTGGCTTCAGCCGGTTGGCAGCCTTATGTCGGCCGGCTGATGCCTCAGGATCGATCGGCTGACCTATAGAGTCGGCTGGCCAAAACAGTGCTAAAACCTGCACCCTCTCGGGACTTTTGAAAGATGATCTCTCGGGCGGCTGGAGATGGGGGTTCGGCTGACAAGGTTCGTCGACCGGTTGAAACAACACTTCCAGAGACCCAACTCTCTATAATGACACCAAAATGCTCTATCGGTCGGCTGACTAACCTTGTCAGCTAGCCGACAGGCCCTGCTATGCTGTTATAGGAGACAAACTACTTACCTAACTGGGCTCGTTATGTGCCGAACTTGATAAGCAATCAATCCTAAATTCACAACAAGACACAAATAGCCATCTACAAACACATATATCATACACTTCTCAAA